CAATACCACAACAACCAGCCAAGACATGTGTCAAGATGAAACACCCATTGACACAAGCACAGACATCAATACCACAACAACCAGCCAAGACATGTGTCAAGATGAAACACCCATTGACACAAGCACAGACACCAATACCACAACAACCAGCCAAGACATGTGTCAAGATGAAACACCCATTGGTACGAACACAGACAACAATAACACAACAACCAGCCAAGACATGCATCAAGGAGCAATTATTGAAACAAGTGTAGTAGAAAAATCCACACTTGAGGCTGTTTCTGCAAGTTTTTATGATAGTAATTCAAGTGTTGAAAGCTCAGTGGTACTAGATGAAAGTGAAGAAACACATCCTACAAAGATATCTCATCCAAACACAAAAAATATTAACAACGCCAACCTCCTGAACTATCATCTTAGGTCTCAAAGTAGAATTATCAGTCATATCCTGTCATTACCAAATACTAGAAGTACAGATGATGAAGGTGAAGTAGGGAAGACGGACAAGATTGATGAATTTGATCAACTGATGACAGAGCAGACAGAAATATTTTTAGCTCATGACAATAATGTTGCGCATCACAGAAGCACCGAACAAATTCATCTTGGAAAAGATCATGACAACCAAGTTACAAAATGCTCTGAGAATGATTATAACGTGAGTTCAGATCAGTCTTCTTTGAAAAACAGTGATTGCAGAAGTCATGATAAGATACACTCAGGAGAAAAGCCATTCAAGTGCAAGCACTGTAGCAAGACATTTACACACATTGGTAGCTGCAGAAAACATGAGAGGATACACTCACGAGAAAAGCCATTCAAGTGCAAGCATTGTAGGAAGGCATTTATTCGTAACAGTGATTGTAAAATGCATGAGTGGATACACTCAGAAGAAAAGCCATTCAAATGCAAGCATTGTAGCAAGACATTTACACTAAACAGTACCTGCAGAAAACATGAGAGGATACACTCAGGTCAAAAGGCATTCAAGTGTAAGCACTGTAGCAAGGCATTTATTCATAACAGTGATTGTAAAATGCATGAGTGGATACACTCAGAAGAAAAGCCATTCAAGTGCAAGCATTGTAGTAAGACATTTAAACAAAACGGTAACTGCAGAGCACATGAGAGGATTCACTCAGGAGAAAAGCCATTCAAGTGTAAACATTGTAACAAGACATTTACACACATTGGTAACTTCAAAAGACATGAGAGGATACACTCAGGAGAAAAACCATTCAAGTGCAAGCATTGTGGCAAGACATTTAAACAAAACGGTAACTGCAGAGCACATGAGAGGATACACTCAGGAGAAAAACCATTCAAATGCAAGCATTGTAGCAAGACATTTACACGAAACAGTACCTGCAGAAAACATGAGAGGATACACTCAGGAGAAAAGCCATTCAAGTGCAAGCACTGTAGCAAGGTATTTATTCGTAACAGTGATTGCAAAGTGCATGAAAGGATACACTCAGGAGAAAAACCATTCAAATGCAAGCATTGTAGCAAGACATTTACACGAAACAGTACCTGCAGAAAACATGAGAGGATACACTCAGGAGAAAAGCCATTCAAGTGCAAGCACTGTAGCAAGGTATTTATTCGTAACAGTGATTGCAAAGTGCATGAAAGGATACACTCAGGAGAAAAACCATTCAAATGCAAGCATTGTAGCAAGACATTTACACGAAACAGTGACTGCAGAAGACATGAGAGGATTCACTCAGGAGAAAAAACATTCAAGTGTAAACATTGTAACAAGACATTTACACACATTGGTAACTTCAAAAGACATGAGAGGATTCACTCAACATAAAAGCAATTCATTAGTGTAGGCAAGATTTGATAAATTCAAGGGGCTTTTTCAGGTATTTTTTTGACTTATTTGCAAAGTTTTTCTCGATATGTGCATTACGTAGGTTACGGATGATAGAGTGCAAGCAATATATCCGTGCAATACTTACAAAAGACTATTTTTTACTAAATTTTGCTAAATTTAACTA